GCGTTCTTCATCTCCCTCACGCGCCCCGACGCCGCCAGCAGCGCCTTGCTGGGCACGCAGCCGCGGTTCACGCAGGTCCCCCCAATGTCGTGGCCCTCCACCACGGCCACCTTGAGCCCCTGCTCCACCGCGTGCAGCGCCGCGCCGTGGCCGCCCACGCCGCAGCCTGTTTGGGGGGGAGGGGGGAGGGGGAGCGTGGACGGGCGTCGGCGGTGAGGCCCCGGGCTGTGCGGTCTCGGGCCCGCGCGCAGCCGGTGCCTGGACTGGCCCTCCGGCGCGCGGCGCCGGAACCGATGGCCAGCGCGTCGCGGCGGCGGCTCTCGTCTGGCGTTGCGGATCCCGAGAGGCGTCGCATACTTCTGATCTCTCGGTGATCAAGACACCGAGGGTCTTCAGCAAGCAGCCCGCTCACCGATGATCAGGAGATCATAGTCAGTGGCCTTGCTGGCGGCGACAGACACGCGCTGGGCGCGCGAGACGGCGCGGCGCGCGGCTGCGGGCCTGCGGCGGGGGCCGAGCAGGCGCGGGGACGGAGGTGGGAGGGGGTCAGATACATGTGCGTGAGGCAGGGCGGCTGGCTGCCTGGGACTGGCATGGGTGCTTGTGGGGGGAGCGAGGAATCAGCCACCCACGTCAGCGCGGCAGCATGCAGCGCGAGCACTGCACCCTGCACTTGTCAGCAGGCATGCTGGTGCTTCTGAGGTTGATGTGTTATGACACCATCCCAGCTAATCGACGCGCGGAATGAGGCTTCGGGCCGGGGTGCGACATGAAAGCAGCGGCGCAGCAGCGGCACAGTCGGATCCGTGCGCCCGCTGCCGCGCAGCGCCGTCTGCCTGATAATTGGGCTATTTCCGATGTTTGTCACGCATGACGCGTGAGTTGAAAGCCAACTCGTTCCGATCCGCGACGCCATTGGCCGAGCAGGTAAAGATCGAGCGTTGAGCCACCCCGCACCTGGCCACAACGGGCTGGCCGCAGGCAGCGCGGAGACTGGCCGAAGAGGCGAAGCATGAGGCATACACTCGCTGCCCAGCCTGGGGACGCACGCAGGGCGCCGCAAGCCTCTGCTGCTGAACGCCAGCACACGCTGCCACGGACTTGGACTGGAGGGCCGCCATTGTGTTTTGCGTAGAAGGTATGGCAATTGTGCCAATGCCTGTCGCTGATAGGCACTGCGGCCGTCGCAGGTTGGATGTGCGAATGCGAACGAATGCACGCAAGTGACCAGGGACCGGAAGCTCCCTTTGATCGGCTTGGCACGCAGATCGAAAGCTATATTGTGCGTTCAACTCGTGTTGACATGCCGCAACCGCAGCATACTGCCGCAAACATCGCAGCACCTGGGCGCCGTGATCAGAGGGCGGGCCGTGATCACGGGGCCAGCTCGTTATCAGGGAGGCAGGACCCAGAAATTGTTAAGTGGTGTGCACCAGCCCTCCCTTGAGCAGCCCGTAGGCCTATAACTCTTCGGGACCTGGCTGCCTTTGACCTTCTAGTCCCATGATCCCACATGTGAACATGCCGAACCAAAGTTGAGCGGCACCAACAGTGAGGTCAACAGCGTTTACTGTACACCGCCAACATAATCACTCCGGGCCTTCTCAGAAATGATAGTTGCCTCAGTGTCCCGACAACTTCCAAAGCCTGCGAGAACATCTCCCAGATCACTCCAGCAGCTGCTGCACGCTCGTGATCACCCTGAACCCGTGCCCGTCCGGCAGCGGCTTGTTCCCCTCCCGCACCACCAGCACCGGCCGCCACCCCGCCTCGGCCGCCGCGACCGCCTCGGCCGCCACGTCCGTCGCAAAGACGACCTCTTCCTCGGACGGGTCGACGCCGAGGGCCGCGGCGATCTCGCGGTAGCTGCGGGCCTCGGACTTGGGGCCCGATGTTGTGTCGAAGAAGCCGCTCAGGTACGGCCGCAGGTCCCCCACCTGTTGAAAGCAAGGGGCGGATGGCGAGGCGGGGTTCGGGCTGCATGAAGAGTCGTCAGAGACTGCAGAATGCAGCAGGGCTTGGGCAAAGCAGAGCTGGTCCTCGCGCATAGGGACAGGGGTGCTGCCGGCACGTCGGGACATCTGCGGGGAGGCGCGGGCGCGCCCGGCCGGGGGCAGCGGCGCGCCCCCGCGCGGCCCCTTACCTGCGTGTGGCCGAAGAACTGCCGCTGGGCCTCCCTCGAGCCGCTCGAGTAGATGTACACCTTGATCCCCGCGTTGCGCCACTCGGCAAGGGCGTCCGGCACGTCCCGGAACAGCTGCGCCACGAGCGCGCCCGACTTGAAGCCCGCGCGCCACACGTGGCCCTGTAGCTGCTTCAGGGCGCCGACCTGGCGGGGCGGCGCGGGGGCATTTGCGAGGGCGCCATCGGTCGAGGGGGGAGGTGGGCGGCAGTGGGCGAGTGCGGCCGCAGCGGGTGCCCGACGACACACGACACGCATGCGGCGTTGCAGGGTGCGTGCCGCGGGCGCTTGCTGGCGCGATGAAATAGCGTGCGCGCACCGGCATAACCATGCGGGTGGCCGCTCACCTTCCGGTCTGCCGAGATTGCCGCCTCCACCCACGACACGACTGCGTCCACCACCGCCGCCTGGCCGGCCGAAGCGGCCGGGATGGGGGCGCCACCGTCTTCGGCGGCCTGGGAAAGGATCGACGTGACAAGAGGACACCCCGCAGCACCGTCAGCGCGGTTCTACATGCATGTGCTGCATTCGCACTGAGCGGCGATATGATCTGCAATGGCAGCTGCACGCACCCCACCCGAGGACCTCTGCCGATGCGACCGACTCCAACAGACGCCGCCCGCCACAACTGGGACCATTGGCCTCTGCCCCACCCCCCACCTCCCCTGCCTGCCGACCCTTGGCTGCTCCGGTAGATCAAATAACACGGCACCCGCCCCCACCTGCTGCCTGATCGCCTCCACGTCCGCCTGGACCTCCTCGCCCTCAAAGCCGCCCTCCAGGTAGCCCCTCACGTGCTGCCGCGCGTAGCTGAACATCGTGTCCGCCACAAAGCTGATGGGCGCGACGGTCCCTTCAATGTCCAGCACCACCGCCGCCGGCGGCCGCCGCCCGCCCCGCACCCGCTTGGCGTTGCCGCCGGCCGCCGCCTCAGCCGCGCGCTTGCCGCCGGCCTCCGCGGCGGAGCCGCCGTTGGCGCGGGCGCCGTTGGCGGCGGCGGCGAGCAGCGGCGCGGGCGGGCGCGAGGCGTCGAGGCCCAGCTGCGCCATCTTCACGGCGGCCGCGAACAGATAGTCATAGCACTCCGCCTGCGTCTTGGCCTGGATCCAGGTCTTGCCCCACACGTACACGCCTGCGGGGAGCAGGGGCGCAAACAGGACGGCGTCGACGGGCGCGACAGCCGCTCGGCACGTTGTGAGCGCTGCTTGCAGTCCCAAGCCCTGCGGATGGCGCTCGCTCCCACCCCCGGGCACAAGCTAAATTCATCCACTCCCACTCGAGGCTGCGCTCATCCAGGGGGGAGGGTGTTCGCCGCCGCTGCAACAGCCGCTGCAACGCCCTCTCATCCCGCCTGCAGGCCTCCGACCGGCCGGCCGCCTGCGCGCCCCTGCCCGCCCACCGTGGCGCCGCACGAGCACCGCGTTGGCCTGGGGGTAGTCCGCGATCGCCTGGCGCAGCCGGTCTGTGAGCTCACACTCGCGCGCGGTGTTCTCGATAATGGGCACCACGCAGTTGCCATAAAACCCGTGGCCCGCGATGCCCTGCGGGCCGCGCACAAGGGGAGGCGGCGCGGGATTGGCGGCGATCGGGCGCCCGGCGGGAGCGCGCGGCGGCCCCAAAAAGGCAAGGCAGACGATGGTCTGCAGGTGCGCGGCCGGCTGCTTTGACGTGAGGAGCGCGCGCCCGCTGCCGCGGAATGAGGTGGGGGCAGCGGCGTCGGCGCCGGGGGGCCGGGCTGGGGCGAGGGGCGTAGCTGCGCACCTTTATCATTTCGAGGTGAGTCACTGTGAACTCAGTCGCCTGGGGGTCGAGCATCGTCGCCATCACCGCGTTGAGCGAGTGGCTGTGCATCACGGCGCCCGCGCCGCGCAGCTCATACGCCTGGTGTTTCGGGGAGCCGGGGCGGGGGGCGGCCGTGGGGCGGGCAGCAGCATGGCCAGCTGCAGGGCGAAAAGCAGCCAACCGCTGTGCTCCGTCGAGCGCGCGCATATGAGCACGCATGGTGCTTTGGCGGCCGGCAGCGATCGGTGGGCGCTGATGCGTACGGACATGTGAGCGCCCACGGGGGAGCAGCGCTGGGCGGCATATCCTCACCGCCATGAACAGAGGGGAGCACTCGCTCAGCTTGGGCGCTGGGTACGGCGGCGGCCTTGCCTTGGGCTCCTCAACCACGTCCCCCTTGCTATCAAGGACGTACATGTCAGAGGGCTGCATGCGCTCCTTCTGCACGCCAGAGGGCGCCATCACGATCCGGTCGTCGCCAGCCTTGACAGAGATGCCGCCGCCCGTGCCTGACACCCACCCCTGATCGTAGAAGAGCCGGCATAGCTCGCAGATGAGGTCCTTGGCCTCGCTGACGCCCACGCCAGCCATGCCCTAGGTGCTGATCTGCGGCTCTCTGTAATATAGCAATTGGTTGCGCCACTCAGCGATTGCGTACACTCCTTTTGATTGTTATCACACCTGCTTCCAAGCAGCGTTTGTGCTTCATGGTGCATCCGTGTCACTCGGCCCATCGGTAGGCCTCACTCGGCCGCCCACGCGCTCAGTCGCGCTGCTTTGGATGCAGCAGCGCTCATGTATACACTGGGGATCAAGTTGGTTTCTGCAAAGAGACTCAAGAAACACCATAATGAAGCACAAAACACCCCATGCACGCTCCACCATGTGACGTGCTTCGGGAGCCCGCTTCTCCACACTTGTGGCTACTTACGTCATCACCTCAGTTGAAAGGCTCAACTTGTCAAGTCGCCAGGTCTACCCCTCTTGAGCCAAGGAGGCCAACGGCACCCTGGGCAGGCGCGCCTGCTGCTCAATCAACGAGTGTCCAACAGCAAGCGGTTGATTGTCGAGGGTCCGCCCCCACCAAGGGCCTGGCCTTAAGAGCCGCCTGGCCCCACAATACCGCCATTACCAGTCTCCGCTTCGTGCATGTGACAGTAATATGTTGTATGTTGTTATGTCCGTGAAGCGGGCTGATAAATATCATTTCACCAAGCATTCCCAGGGCCTGTTTGGCTCGTGCTGCCAGCTTAGTGCATCGGCAAGGACCTCACTTGCTGCCGCGGCGACTTCAGTGATGGCAGCCCTCAGCAGCTCTGGTGAACCAGTTCTACAGCCGAGGCAAGCCAAATGCATGAAGTGCAGCCAAGTGCATGCGCCCTTCTCACGGGCACCCCACTCGCCGACAGGCGTTGGCGCTGCGACCTGCAATGCCTTTTGGAATGTATAGGCTTGTCAAATTTCCAATGAACGCCCTCACACTCCTCAACCCAAGGCCCCCATGCAAGTCAAACAAGCCAAACAACGATTACATGTGACAGGCAGATAACTTGCCAGTGCAGGTAGACGCCACAGTGCCCCTCATCCTTTCCGCCGTCCAGCGCCACCCTTTGCTCGTGCTTTGCTGCTTCCACCCGCCGCCGCTGCTGCCGCCTGTTGTTGTTGCTGCTGCTGCTGCTGTTGCTCCTGCTCCACCTGCTCCATCTCCTCATCTGCGGTGCGGCACACGGGGGCATGAGCCGAGCAACAGCAGTGACCAGAAAGTGGCACAAGCCCATGCAGCTGCCAAGGTAGTACATAACGGCCGGCCAAAATCTGGAATCAACAAATTAGCACATATATCGTGGGGTCTCATCATCGCGTCCGGCCACATTTGTGACTGGTGGGCCCGCCGCGCCAAGGCGCGCATGCACTTGCAGCGGCCTGCAGCGCAGCGTTGAGCGCGCACCCGCCGAGGCGTCCGCTCCTCGCGACATGAGCAAGAACATCAGATTATTGAGCTTCTCCATCCGTTTCACATCCACCAACTGATCAGTTTGGTACTTGAGGCACTGTGTGCGAGGTGTTGAGCGATCCCAGCCGATCAGCAGGCGATCTGGAGGCACCTCACAGGTTCTTGACGCTCCCAATAGCTTACCGTGACATCGTCTGTCACTTTTAGCACCAGCTTGCCCTCCGTGTGCCTGTACTTGATGCAGTACCGCGACTTCAATGGCTGCTTCCGCCATAGCTCCTCTGCTTGGACGTAAAATGAGTCCCAGTCGTCAATATACATATTAAACAGGCTCAGATCAGGTCTTTGCTCTTGAACGAGACTAGATCACTGTATTTCGGCCGTAAACAAGCAGTATCACATTCGCAACGATTTCGATTGTCTTGCTGCATGCAGTAACAGTGAGGCCGTGTGTGGAAGCAGGATTGGCTGGCGAGCTTGCGGTACCCGACAATGTCACCGATGGTGGCTGGTCTCTCACTGGTCTCTCACTGCGACATGTCATGGGGCGTTGGCAACATTGCTGCAGTGCCTGGCTGGCCAAACGCCCATGCAGAATGATTGAGGACATTGAAGATGAACTCAACATAAAAAAAACTCAACATGCACGTGCAGCAGCGCCCCCTGCATGGATGATGCTGTACGTAACGGTATCCGCACGAGCCAGCCATGCCTGCATTTGCTTTTGCAGTGCTCGACATGCATGGCCATGCCTGTATACATGCATGGGGTATAATGCAGATGCCTAGGAGGAATGAGCTGCAATTGACGTATTATTATTTATGTAGCTGCTCTTGGGCTTTGATGTGGAGCCCCGCAGTGGGCGCCCCACCACCGGTCGAAAGGCCAGCCGTTTGTGGCGGTTATGAGATCAGGCGCACGTCCAACACATGCGGCCCATCGTCACTGTGCCTTGCCAGTCTACCACGGGCATTAACGAGAGGATTGTCTCGGGCTTAAAGGGAGTGATGTTGTATGTGGCGGCTGTGTGCTCACGCATGGAGGGAGGACTTCGGCAGGTCCTGGTCTCATGCAGCTGGAAAGGGGCATTTGTCAGCGACGACTTTGTGGACATGGTGGTGAATTTCACCGCCATACGAAATCAAATTCAATCAATCACAAACCTTCATTGCGTTTTACTTGCTGCAATTTGTCCAATCCGTTGTGCCTGCGCAAACCAACCAAGCTTGAACCAGCCTCTCTTGCGCGTACAAGCTTTAGATGGCGTACGAGTTGCTGCCGTAGCCCATCTTGGGTAGATACACGTGCGTCGCATGCAGCCACCGTCCTACGGCAAGCTCAGCTGCGCCCAGGCGGTTTATGGCGGCGCGTAACCAGCGCCTGCTGCTGCGCGAGTTGGAGAACGACCTTCTTATCAAGCAGAGCGATGTGGAAAGCCTAACTCAACGCCAGGCACGCCTGCGAGCACGCAGCCATGCGGCACGGGCGGTGCTGTCACAGTGCGAGGCCCTTCTTGCCCTTGCAGCCGCCCTGCAGCGCGACCCCCCCGACAACGGCGGTAGCAGCGGCAGCGGCGACACGACGCCGGCGCCCAAGGGCAACAGCAGCCCACCAGTCAGCTGGGATGATCAGCTGGCGGCCCACATGCAGGAATTGAACCGCGAGTGGGTCGACAGCGAGTGGGCGGGCGACAACGTCACCGCATGCATGGTCGGCGGCGGCGTCGCCGCGGCCGCCACTGCTGCCGCGGCCACGCATGAGCAGCCGATCTGCCTTGGCTGGTCCCCAGGGCGGGCGGCCCAGGCGGCGGCGACGGCAGAGCTAACGACAGCGGGCCTCAGGAGCAAGCTCCAGGAATTTGCATGCAACGCCGGCCGCCTACTCCTGCGGATCCGCCACGCCGCGCCCGACGCGGCCGACGCGCGTTGCCAGCTGGCGTCGCGGCGCTGCGAGGTCCTGGGGCTGATAGCGCTCATCGCCGTCCGCCCGCCGGCGGGGCTGTGGCCGCTAACCGCCGTGCAGCTCGCGCCCCTGGACGGCAGCGCGGGCGCGGGCGTGGCGGCCGCCGAGGCGCACTGGCGGTTCGCGGCGGCGCAGCTGGCGCTTGAAGACTCGCAGGTGTGAGTGCAGCACGCAGGGGCCAACGCACCCACACAGGGTTGCCGCCGCTGCTGCTGCTGCTGCTGCTTGCAGTCCTGGCGTGGGGCATGTTGCCCGCATCCAGTTTCATGCTGCAGGCATCGCACGCCGCGCTGACTCCGCGCCACCCCTTCACTCCCGCCACCTCAGCGTGAGTATGTCAAGGCGCTGCTAGAGTCGGACGCCGCGCGCGCGCGCCGCACCGCCGCGCGTCTCCAGGAGCTGCTGCTGGAGAGCGCCGCGCGCGCAGAAGACACAGAGGCGCAGGAGTGCCTGCTGCGCGAGCTGGAGCGCCTGCTGGCCTCCGACCGCGTCTGCGGCACCGCCGTCGTGCTCGCTCTGTATGGCACCCTGCTGTCTGCGGAGCAATCGGCTGCGTTTTCGGTGGCCAGCTGGCCGCACGCCGCCAGCCGGGGTGCGCTCGCAAGCCTGCTGCTCTCAAATGGCGGCAGCGAGGCGACTGAGGTCGAAGAGGTTGCTGCCGCGTGCGAGGGCGGCTTGAAAATGGCTTGATGCACGTGCGTGCAGCGTGCGCGCACATAAGATAGTGTGAGCATTGCGGTTGCACGAGGGGCGTGGTGGCCCGCAATCTAGGTCACCTTCCTCCAGCTGCATCGCACGGCGCCACATGTCCTCGTGAACCACGCACGCCAATGTGCGGCGCTGTTTCCCATAACCTCCCACAATACATGCATATGCATTGTCCAGAACACAATTTTGGCGCCGTGTGTTTGCTTGGCGATTCATCGCCAAGCTTTCGGTCACCCGACGCTGCGCTAATCAGCATCGGGTTGGCGCCTGCGATCCCCCAGGTTTTGCCCCCACCATGCCTTCGCCCAGGCGCAGTGTCTCTCGGACTGAGGGCCTTGCTGATGTCACCAAACATGTTTCTTGGGGGATTGCGATCCAACACAGTGTTGATTGGGTCTTTGCCTGTCTCCCGGCTTGACGGGTTGACTCCGAGCGCTGGATTGCAGAGTAGCCCCGACTGAGCACGCGTCACTTCACTGACTCATGGGGCAGAACTGCTTGTGGTTTGCGGCCAATGGACTCTGGTGCTGCGCCACCAGCGCCCAGGCAGGCGCGCACAACACAGGCACCCCTGTTCGTCCAAGGTTTGGACCTTTGTTACCCGGCTATTTCGGGCCACATTTCACCCTCCTGCAAATCCTTCAACCACCGGTGGGCTCGGCTGCACTCTGAGTGTGCATTCTGGACCCCGGTATGCCATCATCGTCTCTTGAGTGGCCACGCCGTTTCAAAACACACCAGCCCCGTGCCGGTGCTGCTTCGTTGCCGGGTTGTTGTGGCTTCCTCTTCGAGCGATGTCGAGAGGGTGCAGGCGCGCGCTCGCGCCGCCGCGCCTGCATTGAGCGAGTTGCCGACTTTGTTCGGTCCTGTGCGGGGGCTGGGGCGCCTGTGCCGCCACGGTACATGCTGCAGACCACTGCGTTGCCCACCGTTGTCCCCAGTCTGCACGTCGCACCGTGCCTGTTGCCCGGTCTTTGTGCTAATCTGATGGATTCAAACCATACGTCATCAATCGCAAAGCTTAACCAATACACGCACACCTTTGCAAGACTGGCAAGGTGACTGCCCTTCCAAGCGGTGTCATTTGTACATGCTTTTGACCCACACGTATGCCTCCCCCTTCCACAAGCGGCACAACCTCAATGCCAAGGAGAGCGTTTGAAATAGCAACACCCTACTACAAACATTTAGGAAACCCTTTCGGGCTGTCCCCGCACGGTCTGCACTGCTGAACCTAGGATGAGGCGTGGTGGTTGGTTATTGCCCTCCATGAAAGCGAGTCCTGCTTGTCGAGCGAACTGTGTTCATCCCCGTTTTTGTCAAGAGCAGCGATGTCACTGACGCAGCTCGCAGTTCCGGCCACCACGCTTCCCGCCGTCCAGTCTGCTGTTTGGTCATTGCATCCCCACTTGGCGCCTGCACCCCCACCTGGCGCCCGCACGATGGGGATGGAACAGCACTTAATATGCTGTGAGCATGATTGTGGCGTGTGGGGAATCCTGCAACTCCCGCCGGTAGCTACGTACAATCTGTATGGTCATCACACATTGTTTGCACTGCTGACCAGGAGGCCGGGTACAGTAACCTTTGGTCACATGCAGCAACCGCAAAAAAACGGATACGACAGCATGCCACTGCAATCCTCGCGCGTCCAGTCGGGCTCAAATCCCCAGCAGCCGTCACAACACGAACCGTTCGCGTGGCAGTTTTGGTTACAGTAGTGCCGGCCCTCAGCGGCCGTCACCCTCCCGTGCCCCCGCCGCCGCCGCCGCCGTCCGCGCCGTCGACGGCGGCCCCGGCCTCCTTCAGCCTCGCCGCGAGCGCCGCCGACACGCCCCGCGGCCGCTCCGTCGCCGGGTGGCGCCGCAAGTGGTCCGACAGCCGCGCCAGCGCGGCGCATACCTCCGCCTCGCTCGGCCCCGACAGCTCCGCCACGCGGTCGCCCTCGCAGGCGCAGAGCGGCGCCTCCGCCGGCGGCCGCACCTGCGGCGGCGGCGGGCGGTCGTGGGCGCGGTCGGCGGCGTTTGGTGGGGGGCGTGGTTGGTGCGGTCCCTGCCGCCTGAGGGGGGGGGCTGTGATTTGCTGGGTCGAGTTTCAAAAGCAGGGTGCCTTCAAGGGGGCACCGGGCCACCAACATGCGAATGCATGCGCCCCAGCCCATGCCTTGCTCACCAGCAAACTTGCTCCCGAGCTGCCTTGTATCAAAGCCGCGTCTGCGCCGGCGAGCGAGGCCGCCTGGCTGCCGCTGACCAGCAGGCGCAGCCGCAGCTCGCTGTGCTGCTCCCCTCCCTCGCGAGCGTCGCCGTTGGGCAGCAGCGCGTCGGCGAGCCGCTGCAGGGCCGCGGCGGCGCCGCTTTCGCTGACGTCAGCGCCCGGCTCTGCGGCCGCTGGTGAGTAAATCACGAGCAGGCGCTCAGTGCAGCCAGGGACAGGCCGGATGGTACGAATGATGGCGCCCGTTTCTCGCTCTATGCGCTCCACGACGGGTTCGCCGCCGCTCGTTAAAAGCAGGCTGTCTGCTTGTGCTACTGTCACCAGCAATCGCAACACCGTATCGCTTGCAGCTGCCGTGTGCGCCCGCTTGGCAGCCGGGTCGTCGTCGGCTGTTCCGTTGGCGCTGGTGGCAAGCTGCCGTTTGCTGCCTGCTGCAGTTGGTGGGCTGCTCCCAACGGCCGCTGCCGTCGGCTCCATCGCCAATGAGGAAGGGGTCACAGTGGTACCCTTATCATAAGAGTCTAATCGGTCGTTTAGTGGCTTGCAATGGTGGTTGCTGAGTGAAGTCCTTGTGATCTGGCAACATCAAGGAGCATGAATTTGTGTAAACGCTGATTAAAAATACGGCGTCACCTTACGATGATACGATCGACGAGTCTCGAAAAGGCCGGGTGACATGTGTCACTTGCACTATTGCACTGCACACCAGCACCCATTCACAACATACGCATTCCACCCAATCAAGCAACGTGCCTATACATCCGGCCACACACATTTTGGTCGGCTGCCTCACTTGCAAAATTCGCGCGTGATCTGGGAGGCGCGCGAAGATCGAAGCGCCGAGCGATCGTGGTGCCGCCGACTATTGCTAGGCCCGTGATATTCGCAGGATACCTCACGGTCTACTTCTGAAGATATGGTGCGGCCCCGTGCAAGTAGCCCGCCCGTGAGGCGGTGCACGCTCTCCCTGCACTCGTACCTAATAAGCCCTCCGCTCAAACTTGCACACTTGCTTCGTAGAGTGACTTCAGTGGCCGCGCGGCCAGCGAGGACGGGGACATGGCGCAGCTGGACGACTATGTGCCCGTGCCCGACGACAACCCGGACGCGGCGGGCGGCGCCGCCAGCCAGGATGTGACAGATGACGATGACGCCCTGCCTCTCGAGGAGGAGGAGGGCGAGGACCTGATGGAGAACATGCAGAAGTGAGACAGCATGCCGCTGGCGGTGGCGGTGGCGGCGCGAGTGAGGGTGGTACGGCAGGCCTGCAACGCTGGCCTGTCTGCAGTCGACATACGGTTCTCTCGTCGCACGTTGCGCCATGCGCGCATGCAGTGCGCACGCCGCCTTGCCGCGCACGCCAGCCCCCCTCATCCCCTTTGACCCCGCTCCTGCACAGCAAGCACCGATGTCCTGAGCCAACCTCGCACCCCAGCACGGCCCGGCCCCTCCCTTTCCCCCATCCCCACCCCCATCCAAGTGACTACCGCGCCATGTCTGGGATGGACCAATACGAGGCGGACGGCCTGGACCAGGAATACACAGAACAGATGACGTACGAGGAGAGGGTGAGCGACCGGGGCGCGGTTTCTCTATCAACTAGAAAAGCCGCCGCTGCTTATTGCAATCGGCCCCGGAGCGCGCACGGGCCGGGTCGGCGTTTGCAGAGAGGAGTGCGGGCGCGGCCGGGCATCAGCGGCACTGAGGCCCCGTGTGAGAGGTGCAGGTCTGATGGGAACGACTGTGGTCGGCACCGGCGGCGCCCCGCCGTCACCCCGCCCGCTCTCCCGCGCGTGATCACCCCCGCGCCAGGCCGCCGCGCGGCTGGCGGCGGAGGCGGCCCTGGACAGGCGCGACGCGGGCGGGCGGCGCCGCAAGCGCATGCCCGGCGCGCTGGAGGGGCTGGACGATGATGACTTTGCTGATGTCAGGCGTCGCAGGTGGGGTTCGACGCACGCACAGTGGCGACTGCATAAGTGCGTGTGCGTGGCGGCGGTCGTCATGTGTGTTTGTGCATATGTGTGTCGGGGGGGTGGGGGTGCGCGTGCGGCGGGGTGGCCGCTGCCCGGCAGGACGGCTGGACCCGCCGGAGGACGGCCGCGGCGCGGGGCGCGGACGGCTGCGCAGCGCGCGCGCAGTACCGCGGCGTGTGCCCACGGGGGCCCACACGGGCGCAGCAGCAGGATTGAAATCACGCCCGCTTGTCACGCCTACCCACCCACCCACCGCCTTCCATACTCACACGCCGCGCACGCGCGTCGGCCCGTCAGGCTGGCCACCCAGGAGGAGGATGACGGCGATGAGGGGCCGCCGCGCGTCAGCCTGGAGGAGTTCAGGTGTGGGGGGGGGAGTGGGGCGAGTGAGGGGCGGGGAGAGGCGAGCAGCTCGGCAGGGCGCGTCTGGCGGGCCGTCAAGAGGGGGTGGCAAGGGCAAGGGCGTGCTGGGGCTGGCGGAGAGAGGGAGGGGTGCAGGCAAAAAGGGCCCAGGCCGGCGCACGGCGCATGGCCGGGAGAGGGCGCGGCCAAATACACGGCGATGAGAGCCGTTGATGGACACAGGGCGTCGCGCGAGCAGCCCCTGTATGTCTCTGGAGGGTAATGGGCGAGGAGCGCCCGCCGCCGACCGCGCGCGCCCGCGCCCGCGCCCGCGCGCCCGCAGCGGCTGCGTGACGGACTGGGTGGCCAACCCGCCCGTGGCTGCGGAGGTTCAGCGGCGGTTCAGGCGGTTCCTGCGTCAGTTCCAGGATGACAAGGGGCAGCGCGTGTACCTGCAGCGCATCGAGGCCATGGTGCTGGGTGAGGGGGGGGGGAAGAGGGGGCGCGTGTGAATCTGCGCATGTGCATGTGTGTGTGTGTACGTGTGTGTGAATGTGTTTTTTTGTGTGTGTGCATGTGCATGTGTGTGTGTCTGTGTGTGCGTATGAGCTTGAGACAGCATGTCAACGTCAAGATGAGCGCAGCAGGTGGATAGAGCGAGAGTTTCGAAACTTGCATGTGAATGTGAATGCCGCGTGGTTTGGGGTTGCGCTGAGCGGCCGTGGCGGGCGCGGCAGGGCCCCCATCCTCCGAGCTTTCTGTTCGGTGCTCACCCCCTCGCCGCCGCCGCCCCCTCCTCCAACGCACAGCCAACCGCCAGAGCCTGGAGGTGGCGTATGGCGACCTCATCGCCTTCCCCAACTGCCAGATCCTCGCAGTCTTTGTGGCGGACGCACCCAGGTACGCGCAGGGCAGCACGCCGCGCTGGACCCGCTTGCCTCGCCTGCATCCCCACGAATTCCCCCGTCAACCCCTTGCTCGCCTGCGCGCCCCCGAGCCCCTGCTG